GCAGCTCAAAAATAAATCACTTTTATATCTCCCTGATCCTGGTGTGGAGCCCCATTTCCAGCACTGAGTGGCTCTACTTTACATTGGCTAACAATATCCTTGCCTATGCCCTCTTTCTCCTAGACATGCATTCTATTGGAGTGGGAATGGGGTGGGGGGTAAAGTGGCCATATGGTGCTATACTCTTTGTGGACTTCCCCAGGTAGGAGAACTCTCAGGAAACCATTCTAGTGAGATTCTGGGAACTTTGCACTGTTGAAGCAGAGCAAAGACCAGGATCTGGTTCATTTTTCACTGTTTAATTCCAATAAGACTGCTAACCACACTCTTCCCAGTAGCCAATAAATCAAAGTACAAGCTTGGTTCATTTTCAGTGTCATTACTCCTTTTCGGGCCCATTGACAGGTGGGAAAGAAGCAAAGAGGGCAGTTGCCCTGGAGTCCAGCGATTCAAAAGGACCCAGAGCTCCCAGCTGCCGCTACTATTATAGGCGCCCTGTGTCCTTTAAACCATTAAATTACCACTAGAGCACCACACAGAGTGCTCCAGGCAGCTCTGAGGGCTGGCGGAGTGGGGGAAGTGCAGCATGCTCCTGGAAATGCTGAGGGCTGGCTGCCCAAGCTCCACCTTTTCCGCCCAAGGCCCCACCCCTTTCAGGAGTGCACAGCTGGACCACTCTTCAGCTAGATCAGGGGTGTCCAAACTTTTTTCAAAGAGGGCCAGATTTGATGAAGTGAACATGCGTGAGGGCCGACCATTTTGCCTGACATTCTTTGAACCATTAAAATTAAATGCAAATTAACTATTTTATGCAAAGTTTATTGCAAACGGCATACTTTTCATTTCGTCACATGGATGACAAATCTAAACAGGTGTTAAATCACTCTGCCTTTCATATCTGAAGGCCAGATGAAAAAAAAATCCAGGAAGCTGAAATATATGTCAGGAACATTGTAAAGTACATTGCATATTATTGTTAATAAAGGTTGTCTGTCAACTTTTAAGTTCAAAAAATATGAACAGGAACATAACACCAAGTATACATGTTGTGTCCAAATATATTTATAACTGATTTAGACCAACTGACATTAACTGAGATTTTACAATGTATTCATCTCAATACATATGGATTCGTTGGGGGCCGTAAAAGATAGATATTGCCAAATTACCTGTGGGGCCGTATTAAACCGGAACACGGGCCGCAATTGGCCCACGGGCCGGACTTTGGACATGCCTGAGCTAGATGAAGGAGCTCTGCATATTGTTGGACTCTGCCAGTCTATCAGCTGATGAATATTTCAGAAATTTGTGGTAAAACATATATGTCCTGAGCCTGTCCTTACTCACATTAGTAATTTACCCCAATCCAGGGGAGCTGCACTAGCATACACTGGTATGGAAAGACTGTCAGGCCTGTGATTTCTAAAGTTGTGTCATAACATTTATCAGTGTGTCTTCTATTAGGATATTTAAATTATGGCTTAATCATTTCTCTAGTGCAAAGTTTCAAAAAGCGATTAAATGCTATCACGCTATTACCTATCTTGGAAGCATCTTTCAGCATGTACTACCAGTTAATCAAGATAATTAAAGTAGTATGTGAACAGACTACTGGAAAAATATGATCAATTCCAAGGCCATCTGGAGATTAAAAAATAGAACAGAAAAAAAATCAAACAGATTTCATTCTACCTTATTGTCCTATGTTTTCATTTTATGTAAAGGGTATGATAAAAATACTCTTGATATTTGAAGATGAAGAGCTAGTACATGATAAGCAAAACATTAACATCAAGCTGCTGTAATGTAAGTAGGAATAATTACCTCAAGCTCAGGTTAAAAATGATACTTCCTGACAGAAGAGGTAAATTATCTAAATCAGAGTGCTTTTAAATAAATGTTGAGGTCACAGCTAGAAGGGCTGTGAGTTGAGAGCACAGTGATTGGTAAAGGAGGCATAAGGCAAATATATAGATATATATAGATATGTTTAGAAAAGAGCCTCATTTGGAATGAAATCTTTGCCCAAAATTCAGTGGCAAAGCTTTCATTTACTAGAACAAACTAGTTTCTTGGTGTGAAGTTGCATTGCACTATTAAAGTCAATTGAGACGCCTCAGTTTACACTGGCAATCTGTTCCTTAGGGTGTGTCTACACAGCACCCTAAACTCAAAATAAGATATGCAAATTGCACTACACAAATCGCGTATCTTATTTCGATTGTATTTCGAAATGGCTTATTTCAAAATTTGGCACGTCTACGCAGTGCCAAATTTCAAAATAACGCACTATTTCAACACATCCATTAACCCTTGTGGAACGAGGGTTACAGGAATGCTGAAATGTTGAAATGTTTCAACATAACGGGCGCATTTAAAAGACGCGGGGTAGCTATTTAGGAATACCTCCGGTATCCTGAAATAGCCACACTATCCAGATGTACCCTTAGTTACTAAGGTGATGAATGATATAGGAATTCATTCCCATAGATGGACACTGATGATTTCTTTGGGACTCCATATAGGTACAAAGATCTGTCTATGCAGAGCACTCTGCAAGACTGGAGTCTTAATTAGCATTGTAAGTTAGTAGAAATTCTTTAGATTCAATCATACTTAATAAGGAAGCAAATATACAAAAAAATTTACCCAGCCAGTATATTTCTGGGTTTCCACTGTTATTGAAGATATTCATATGACTGGGCCCCAAATCAGCAAAATATGTGAACACATGGTTAATTGCTTTGATGAATCAGGGCATTATTCTGTGCTTTTTCCATTACTATCAACTCTTCTTCTGCCTCATCCGGCAGTGAACTGCTTCCTAACAAGTAAGACATAAAACTTGGAGCTGGAAGACCTCAGTTCTTTTATGGACTAATTGGGTGATGTTGGGAGAGTCACATAACCCCTGAATGTCTCAATTGCCATTTTTAAAAAAGAAGAAAACAGATTTGCAAAACACTTTGAAATCTATGGTTAAAAATCTCCCCCAATACTTTATTGTTAGTATTAGTGCACTCTTCTGATACCATATATCTGGAAAGAGAAAATGAACCAATAGGGAGCATGTTCCCAAAAAAAATGTAAATCTTTTGAAAATGTAATGAATGTATGTGTAAATTACACCAGAAATATTCCAGTTAACTTTTCACTTTGTAGAAATGTAACAAAGCAAATTTAGGTTTTACATATTGCTTTGGTTTATATTTATGTCTGCCATTTTTTAAAAGTCCACTTAAGAAGCTTGCTTCTGACTTTTTGTGGTTTGCAAAGGTTGTCCTCATTTCTCCTGTGGATCTTTCCAGCTTGACAGAAACATGGGTTTGTGTGTTTCACTCATCACAAATACACAGACATACCTGTCATTGCGTGAGGGAGGAATTGCTATACTAATGGGAATTTCAAACAGTCATAGATATCCATTATTCAATGGCCAGATATAGATGTGACACAAGTAGCACTTATTTATTCTGCACCATGGAAAAATACTTTAACCATAAATGTTATTCTACCTCATTTCTTGTGCATTTTTCCCTCCTGGAAGCATCAGAGTAGATTTTAAATACTAGGTAGCAAGGAAAAAGCTGTCCTAGTGAACATATTTGTGAAGATGTCCTTTACACCGATGGACGACAACACGAAAAAAGAAGTCTGTCTTATTTAATGGCTGCTGAGGGGACAAGACCAGGAAACAAGCCTAATTTCCCTAACACGAAAGCCCTATTCTCTTCCCACAGGGCCTTTTACTGTCAAGAGACCAGGTTCCAATGTATACACCTGGATCTTGAAAGAATCTATTACACCTTTTTCATTAGATAAGTTCCTTAGCACTAATTTAAATCCATGTTATGACAATTCCATCAAAGTAAAATGGTAAGTGAAACTGTTTTTAAATGTATTTATTATTTTTTTCTCTCTCCTTTTTTGTTTGTTCTTTCTTATTATATGATTCTGTTTTTATTCTTAAATGTATGTGGACATGAACTAATGGAAGAGAAAAAAAGATACAAAGGATACAAACTTTGGCTTCCGAGGATGAGGGGAAGAAGGGAAGAGTCCAAGGACAATCATATATTGAGAAACAGCAGTGTAGATATGTGTGTATATGTATGAATAATACTATGAAACTAAATTTCTTTTTTTTTTTACATTGTAACTAACATAACAGTTGTCAATTATCCTTGTAGCAGAAACAACTGGGAGTTTCTTTGCCACTGAGGCAAAAAATGACCAATAAAACCGTGTAAAATAACCTTTCTAGTATTTTCTGTGTGTTAGTGACAAACATAAAACTGGAATATTTGCATATTGTCTGGAACAGCTAAAGCCTCCCCTCATCAAGCCATTGAAGATCCTAAACATTTCCCCTTAGCTGATGTGCCAAGAATCAGTGAAAAGAAATTTGAAGTTGATGTGATTTTTCTTCTCAGGTTGCCCCCAAAGGTTGCTCTAGCAAGGGGCACAGTCACTATGTTTTCATCCAATGTCTGATGATTACAGGGTTGGTGGGTGACTAAAGAGTGACTAATCACCATCTTTACCCACTGGGCATCTTACCATTATCGTAGTGTATGATCCCACCAGGGCCAGTGATGCAGCTGTGGACTTTTTTTTTTTACCAGTAACCACAATCACTCTTTAATGAAACTCCAAGAAAAAATATCATCATAACCCTGTGTGAATTTAA